TGCTGTGGTCTGCCGTGCCGGCCTGCCGCGCTGGTCTTGCAGGTGACTCGTGGGGGCCCCCGCGGGGCCGTTTGGAGTCCCCTGGGGGGCCTTCGGCGGCTCTCTTGGGTCAATTTGTTGTTCCTCATATGCAGTGCCACCCGTGTTCTGTTGACCCCTGCTTCGAAAGGGGCTCAGGGGCATGGTGTGCGCGGCATGGTGCAACGAAGAGGTTGCATTTGAGACGCGTCTGTTTCCTCACCTGTGGCGTCATTTTGCTCTGGGAAACGAAGACAAAACGAATCTCGTGCGGTGGGAGAGGAAAACAAAAAAAAGGAAGCTCTCTTGGGTCATTTTGAAGCCCTCCGGGAGCGACTCCAAGACAACGATGGTTCGGAGTCCTCTCCAGGGCCGATTGTTTGAGGATGTCTCGAGCGAAACGGCCATTTCGGGAAATCCACCAACGAATTATCAAATGCAGCCTGCAACGATATAGCGTTCAAGGTCTGTATATGTAATGCTAAAATTTTGAAGGATATGAAACGCCCTTCTCTTTCGAATTCCTCGAAGTCGCTGACCTTCATTCGCCAGCGAGGTGCCTGGTGCAGCCCACATCCTTTAGTTAGAAAACATTCTATTATACCCACGAACCAACGGAACACGACGGAGGCGCTTCACGTCATCCGCCATGGTGCCTTGAGCGCGTAGTGGAGTGCCTCAATGCTCATACAGGTGATAGCAGTACGACAACTTTCGGGAGCGTCCAACTAAGGGGAACCATGATGGGGGTCCGCGGGCCCTGGCCGTGATATCCCCCCCCAGCCCTCACCCCCCCCCCCTGGTCGCTTCCGATCTTCATGGCCCAGACCCGCGTTTTGCCAAACTCCTCGGCGCTCCTGGGCGCTCTCGGTGCACTGCGCGAGCCTCAAGGCCAACATTGGTGCAAACACGACTCATGGATGCGGCCTGCGGGTACATTGGTTTAAACGCGGCTCGTTGAGGCCAACATTGACGCACACATCAACGCAAACACGACCCATTGATGTAAACGTTGACGTAAACACGACTCAATGAGCCTCCCGAGGCCAACAATGATGCTAACACGACCCGTTGATGTGCACACATGAAGGCCCTCTCAAGGTGTACCGCACGAGCCTCCCGAGGCCAACATTGATGCTCCCATGTGCAAGAACGGCCCTGCGGGGGGGGATCGGCGGACCTCGCTGGGGCCAAACAGCGGGAGGCCCCCGGAGAGAGGGCCAGAGGGCCACCAAGAGGGCCCAAAGTCAAGGCACGCAGGATGCTCCTCGCGGGCCACCTTGGGGGCCCTCTTGTGGCCGCCTCGCCCCCCCCCCCCCGAGACGACTCTGGAGGGACCCGGACGGTCGAAGAGGGCCTCGAGATGGACCCTTAGAGGACACCCAAGAGGGCATCAAATAGCCATACCCCCAAGACGAGAGGGAACTTGGTGGAGGGGGGGGGGATGAAAAGAATGTTTGTACGAAGGGGGATGCGAGGCGGACGGAGTTCTGCGAAGGCGGCTTCGAATGGATCTCTGGCGTATACTAGATACTTCGTCTGCAACCTCGTGCAGTCCGCCACGGTGCCCCCCGGCACGTTGAGGCGTGAGACAGTGCCAAGGACTGCCTGGTAGGGATGTTGATGCTCTCTCAAATGACCCCCCCCCCTCTACGCGCAGCGTGTTGCGTGCACCACCCCCACCCGCGTGAGAGACCAATAGGTCCGCGCTCCCGAGGCCACGACCCCGGCGTAAAAACGGCGCGAGCCTCCAGGACGGCCCAGGCAGACCACCGAGACCGCACACGGCCCAAGATTCGGCGGTGGGCAACCCTCCCTTTCGTAGACCTCCTCCTGGTGAAGGCGGCCTGGGACCGAAACCGACGGACCTGGACTCCCGCAGAAAGGACGGCCGCGACGCCCTCTCGCGAACCGAAGACGGCCAATTCCTTCATCGACGTGTCGGGGTACGGCAGGTTCGCGTCGTGTCGACCCCGGCGTTGGTTTTTGACACCGCAGGGATCGTTCAACCTTGAACGATCGGCCGCTGCCGCAACGTCCGATCGTTCAACATCGGTCGATTCTGGGTCGCCGGCCAACCTTGAACGTCCGCGCTGGGGTCGCCGCTGGTCGACACGACGCAAACCTACCGTAGGAGGTCTGCCCACCCCCGAAAGGTGGCCCCGGGGCGGCCCACGTTGGCCTCGGGACGGCCCGAGGTGCCTCCGCGCGTGGCCCACTGGCCATCGCTCGGACGCCCATTCCCTGTGCTCGTTTCGGTTTCGTGCGTGTTTTGTTCGCCAAATGATCGAGGACGCTCCTCGACGGTCCTCGCCGAAGGAAAAATGCGCACGTCCGAGCGATGCCAAGACGGCCAATGAGGGCCTCTGGAGGGGCCCAAGACGGCCCCACGGCGGCCCCCAGGCACCCCGGATGCAGCCGAGAGGGCCCCAAGACGGCCCGAGAGAACAGCAAGACGGCCTAAGATAAAAGAATCGAGACAGCCTCGGAACTGCCCAGGTAAGCTCCAGGAGACGGCCTTCCTCTTCCTCCACCGCCTCATCCTCCTCCAGCGACTCCCCCTTCTGGTGCCCCTCGTCATCATTATCCTCATCTTCATCATGGTTCTCCCACGTCTGGGGACACACGGAACTCCAGCGAGGCCAACGATGGCCAAGGGAGAAGATCGGGGTGACCCGGTGAAAGAGAAAGGGCTCACCCTGCAGGTTGAGTTAACAGCACATCGTTGAGCGGTGCTGCAGGCTCCCCTGAGCTCAGAGCTCAGGGCCTCCCAGAGCAGCAGCCAGAAAGGTCGGGTTTGCACCCTCATGCCTCGCTGGACTCTGGGCGGGCTTTCGGTACTGCTGCAGCCGCCGCCAAGCCCTCGTCGAGGCCACCGACTCGGGTGACGGCGGCAGCGACAGTGCCGGCACACCTGGAGACGCAGAGTGTCATACGCGACGGCCTCGCGAGCCCCCCCGAGCAGTCTCCACTCAGAATGCTGGACCCGCACGGCGGCGGGCATTGCCGCAGTCAGCTGGACAAGGCCCAGGTGACAATCCTCGGGCGGTGGCGGGACACCCACGTGTCATCCCCGCTGGAACAGGTCAATCTCATGGAAGCACTCATTTGTGATGACGAGTTGCTTGATCGTGGCAAAAGGCTCCACGTGCACAAGGCTCTACACAGCGTTCCGCACATCGGGTTGCTCACGCGGAAAGTAGGGCGACGAAGTCTATACATACCCACTGCTCCCTGGCCAGGTACATCCTGAACCCAGCAGCGGTGTATACGCCACGCCCTCCGACCTTGGCCAGGAGGGCGTATACACAGCTCCTGTGCCTGTAGTAGATACGATACGTATGGATTTCGTCGTCCGAGAAAGGCCCACACATAGGGTGCCACACACACTCAAACACACACACACACACACACACAAACACTCACACACATACACGTAGGTCTCCGCACACACAGAGCCCATTCCACGCATTAGGGTCCAATGCATTTTGTCACTCGGGTCAGATGTTTGCGGGCCACGCGATGGCGTCAGACCTATATCCGTACGCGCCTCGGGAACACGATGCTGCCCGCATCTCCCCCGACACAAGCATCGGCCACTGGACCCCCTTTTCATTCCCGCCCCCGCCAACGCCCGCTGCGGGGGGGGTGGGCGTGTTGGGCCTGCGAGCGCCGCGGCCTTCTGCTCCAGATGGACAGCAGCCGCGGCGACACCGACAGCGGGCTATGCTCCAAATGAACGGAACATGCTGTCGGTCTTTCGGCAGGGGACAAACCTCTCATCAATAAACCACCCTTTAGTGAAAACGGCCCAGGACCGAAACCGACAGACCTGGAACCGCACAAATAAAGGCCGCGACGCCCTCTCGCGAACCGAAAAAGGTCAATTCGCTAATCGACGCGTCGGGGTAGGAGGTCTACCAACCTCGGAATCTTTATGTCCATGTTTCACGAGAGCAAGAAGATCGGGCCGGGCGAAAGGGCCATAGGGGGGGATAGCAAAGGGGAGGTTTGAGAATCAGCTCACATAGCTGATTTCCCCGGCGCCTGCCGGCGCCGGGAGGCGCCCATGTATCGAGGAATGGGCCCAGCGGCGGGGCCGAAACCAGCTGCATGCAGCAGATTTCGTACCCCCCCTTTCCCAATCCCTCCCTTTCGCCCGGCCCGACTCGTGCCCACGTCTCGCGAGAGCAGGACGAGCCACCGCCGTCCAGAAGTCCATCGAGCTCCGCTCCCCAAACACGAGGAACGGCGCCCATGCACCGTACCATGCCTGGACTCCGTTCAGGCCCCGCTCCAACGCGGTACGGTGCATGGTTTGTTCGGCTCGGGGGGCCAGAAAACTATGCACTGCACCATTCCTGGGTCGAGGATCGACGACGCCTCGTGAGGCGCCAACGCGGCACGGTGCATACACGCTGCCCGCGGACCAAAGGAGACCCCCCGCCCGAGCTGGTGGCACTCCGCTCCCGGACACCCCCTGGGGGGGCGCGCCCGGCACGGGGCGCCGCCAGCTCGGGGCGGGGGGGAACGCCCAGCGCCCCCCTGGCTGGCGGTGGGAGCCTTAGGTCGCGCATGTCCCCCTGCTGGCGGATTTCGGGTGGAACCAAAAATGCTCCAAAAAAATACCCCCCAGGAATCAAGAGATGCTCCGAGGGCCGTCCCCAGACTACTGTTTGACTAGCTCTGAGGGCTCCTCCTGTGGAGGGACGCGCCCGACTGATATTATGGCAGCTCCCCCTTCTCTGGGGAACTTCTTCCGCACCCACCTCGACCCTCCCGATGCGGGGAGAGAGGGCGTGGGGGGCAGGGGGAGGCGCCCGCCCGCAACGGACGCCGCGGGCTCGCCCAAGGAAACACACACACACACAGCCTTCGCCAAACCCTCCCGCCGCGGGCCGAAAGGCGCCGGGGGGGCGAGCGCGGAAGGCGTGGGCGTGCGCTCCTCCCGGCCAGCGGCCGGGCGGAGATCGGGCGCCGGCCTCCTGCTCTGCGTGCAGGACGACAGGACGCTCGCCAGGGCGCTCGCGAAGGCTGTACCTTTGGAGGCGTCAGCTCCCCGGCCGCCAGGGCGGCCCGACGCTGAGAGCGGAAGAGAACGGATCCCTGAACCTGCACCCCGACAGGCGAAGGCCTTTGGCACGCGCCCCCCAGGAGGAAGAATCGAACAGGGCGGGGTCGGTGAGTATACGCCCAGGGGGCCGCTGAGCAAACGCCAGTGGGGGGGGGGTCGGGGTGTACTTGCCCCCCTTGGATATATATATATATATATATATATGTATATATATATATATATGGGCCAACAGACTTTGCAGAAGTCGGCGGGCGCAGGCGAGCCGAAGCAGGGCGCGGGCGCCCGTCGCGCCAACGGACGGGGCACGCTGGGAACTCAGTGGAGGCACAGAGGGCAGCGGGGGACAGGGGGGGAGAAAAGAGGCGGGCACCGCTCAGAACAGGGAGTCCACCGTGTGCATGCCGCACGAGTGCAAGGCACCGAGGCGCGGCCGCAACACAGGCGGCGGGAGGCCAGAGTGCGGCACATCGACAAAATGTTGCACCACCTGGCGCTGACAATGAATCGCATCGCCGTTATATCAATCGTTTGCTTCCCCCCCCCTCCCCCCCGATCTTCATACTGGGCTCGGTCCCGGCTGGCCGAAACAGCTCGGTGGATTCAACATGTCGTCGGGAACCCCCGGGCGAAACAGGGGCTCTTCGCCACGCACCCAACCTTCAGATCGGGGGGAGAAGGGGGCGGGGGGGGCCAAGGGCAGTGCAGTGCTGGTGCCGGTGCACAGCACAGCAGTGGTGCAACAGCTCGCCGACGTGCGGCATGGGCAGACAGACCTGCGAGAGGGCCTCCGGCTCCGCGGGCGGTCGCCCGAGCGCGCTCGCGCGGGGGGGGCCCCGGGGAGGGGCGGCGCCTCGCTCCCTCGCAGGGATCGCTGCTTCGCTGGGGGGGGGGGGGGGCGCCCGAGTCCTGCGGAGGGGCAGATCGCGCCCCCGCGGTGCCCTGGACCGAGCACGAGAGCTGGAAAGACAGAGAGAGAGGGAGAGAGGAAGAGAGATCGAGAGGAGCAGACAAAGGAGACAGCGATGATGGGCCTGTTTTCCTCCACCACCACCACCAGAAGTTGGAGGGGGTGGAGGAGGAGGAGGAGGAGGAGGAGGACGAAGAGGAGGAGGAGGAGGTGGAGGAGGAGGCGGAGGACGAAGAGGAGGAGGGCCCCCTCCCCCTCCAACTTATGGTGGTGGTGGAAAACAGGCCCATCGAGAGAGAGAGGGAGAGAGACAGGAGGTCGCCCTTGGCTCCTGGAGGCCGCCGTGTCGAGCTGGCGAAGGGGACGGGCCCATCTCGCCCCCAGCTGCTGCCTGCCGGCCTGCCTGGAGTCGTCTCCTTCTGATGGGCCTGTTTTCCGGCACCACCACCGTTGGAGGGGGAGGGGGTCCTCCTCCTCCTCCTCCTCCTCCTCCTCCTCCTCCTCCTCCTCCTCCTTCCTCCTCCTCCTCCTCCTCCTTCCTCCTCCTCCTCCTCCCCCTCCTCGTCCTCCACCTCCTTCCCCCCTCCAACTTATGGTGGTGGTGGAAATCAGGCCCAACACCTTCTTTTGAAAAGGAGGGAGAGAAAGCGAGAGAGAGAGAGAGCGAGATCCCGGCGCACCTCATCCGAGTTTTCCCCACACCGCTGATCTCACCATGCTTCCCAGAAGCGCTGTGGACTGTCTCGGGAAGGGTCCCCTGACGGCCATGCTGCTTTCCATGAAACGCTCTGACCGCCTCAGCGAGGGTACTCTTGTGGATAGCCCCAACTACTTGCCATGGCCTCCAATCCTCCCCCCGCCAAGAAAGATGGGCCGCAGTGCCGAGAGCACGGCTTCCGAGCCCCTTGGAACGAACTCTGACAGAATCCTTTCCCCTCGCCCGTGCACAAGCTCCAGCTGAGCATGGGCAGCCACCCAGGGCATTGAGAGGAAGCGGCTCGGCGGCGGACGAACCTCCCGTCCGTAAGCCTCCCTGTGGTGAAAACGGCCCAGGACCGAAACCGACGGACCTGGACCCGCAAAAAAAGACGGCCGCGACGCCCCGTCGCGAACCGAAAACGGCCGATTCGCTGATCGACGTGTCGGGGTAGGAGGTCTGTCAACCTCCGACCCTTCCGCGGGACCAGTTCTCCATCCTGAGTCGTTTTGTTGACTGTCCCGAGGCCCCTTACAGGCCCCAGGAGGCCGCTAACGACGGCAAACCTCCCGTCGTGAATTCTGTCACCACGCGAGGGGGCTTGGGAGCGCAGCGAGGCTCTGCGAGATCATACGGACGCAGCAGTCGCTTCGCTCCTCGGGATTTCGCTCCGATCGGCATCAGAGGGGCCCTGGGACACACACACACACACACACACACACACACACATATAATTAAATATATATGTATAAATAAACATACACACAAACAAAATGGATTCCCCATATTTCCCCATGTTGTCTGGGTTTGCGTCTTCCCCCCCACTTCCCATATTTTCCCATATTTTCAGGAGAATCGACGATTAACTGTGTCTGTGTGTTTTGTCCCCCTCCTGACAAACAAACGTAGGCTATGTGTGCCTCGGCTCCCTAGGGACGGCGCGCGCGCTCGGAAGTCTCACAGCAGATGCTCGGTGGAAGGCGCTCTCTGGCCATGCCGCCTGGGTGAGGATAGGCCATCAGATGGCTGCACTACAGGGAAGGGGCCCTGGGACACACACATAAACAGACGCAGATAACAGGACTCCGCGTAGTTTCCCACTGTTTCTGGGTGTTCCTCTTCCCCCCCCACTTCCGATATGTCCCATCTTTTCTGGGGAATCGTCGGTTTATTGTGTCTGTGTGTTGTTTCCCCTCCTGGTATATGTTCGGTTCGGACGCGCGACTCCGAGAAGGGCGCCGAGTACGAACACGTCATTCTGCGTTCAAGGGCGGAACCCTGCGTCAGAACGGGCCGCGAGTCTCTCTGGGACCACCCCCGGGCCGACACGGAGCGGGCCAGCCTGAGACTGACTGGGTGGCCACAATTGACAGCGAAGCATCGCCGAAGCACCCCAACTCCAGCCAAACGTAGCCAGCCAATTCCTCCGACGACCCCGAAACGAACAGATCGGCGCAACAGGTGTCAACCTGGATGCAATCTGTAGCCCTACGAAGGCGCATGGACCACCTCAGACGACTCATGGGAGAATGGGAGAACAAGAGAGAGAGACAGAGGGAGAGGGGGGGGCAGAGACAGAACGAGAGAGAGAGAGAGAAACAAACAAAAAAAAAAAAAACATGCCTGCCGTTCATCTCGGACACTGCCTGAACAAGCGCCCGGCCGTGCGAGGGATGTCCCACCGAAGCGCCACTTCTGAAAGAGCGCCGAAACCGCCAAAGCCCCGTCTCTCTCAGATGTGCTCGTTGCCACGTTGAGCATATCGCAGTCCAATTCCAAAGTCGAGTCCCACATACCGCTGATCATCGAAACTGTTTGCTGCCACCGCCCACTAGTTTTACGCGCAGTGATTCCAGCTCTGTAGCTGATCACGTTTGGTTCTAGCATCGCCACATCCCGCAACTCTCTGAGCAACGACACTGCATGCTGCCATTGCCCTCCTTTCTCGCAAGCACCGATCCCGGCTGAGAAGCTGATAACGTCTGGCTCCAACGTCGCATTCCATAAGTCCCCGAATAAAGACAGTGCGCGCCACCACTGCCAGCCTTGCTCGCACGCGCTGATGCAAGCGTTGTAGCTGACTGGGGCTGAACCGTGAAACACGCACACGACATGTGCACGACATGACATGTGATGGTAGACATGCTGCCAAAAACCTTGCCTAACAACGTGGGGCTCGAGCGTTGCACTCCGCGCATGCTACAGCGTGCTGGTGCTGTTGCTGCTTGCTGCCACTGTTGCGTACTGTTTGATGTTTGCCGCCGCTGCGTGCAGCTGCTGTTTGTGGCGCCTGGCGGGCATCGCGAAATGCAGGCAGCCTCACTCACATCATGGTCCTCGTGTCCTCCTCGTCCTCGATCTCGTGTCCTTGGTGTCCTCGCCCTCCATACATCGCACACCAACTTCGGGAGATAAGGAGGCTGCGGAGGTGCGTCCTCTTTGACTCGGCTTGGACGCACAGTTCAAAACACGAATGGGCGCACATCGGGAACTAATATGGATTTCCAACAGACCTACCGACATGTATATATATATATATATATATATATGATTGAGGGACAAACTAGTCACATATGATCGTCATTTTGGAAAGATAAATAAGTTATTGCTTACAGATTTTTTCTTTTTTATAAATATATATATAAAAAAATGGCCTTTGTAAATAAAAGCGATTACATATTTTTTATTAATTAAATTATTTAAACTAATTAAACTTTTTAAACTATAAAATATTTAAATAATTTAAATAATTTAAATAATTTAAATAATTTAATTAATAAATTAGCTGAAACTCGTCTTTCTTCGAAAGGACGCTGATTTCAATAAATTAAATATTTTATTGCCCGGGTGGTTTATATTATTTAAATTATTTAAATCGGGGCTCCTGTAATCGAAGCGAAACGTTACGATTTTATTAATTAAACTATTTAAACTATTTAAACTTTTAAAATTATTAAATATTTAAATAATTTCAAGAATTTAAATAATTTAAATAATTTAATTATTAAATTAGCTAAAACTCGTCTTTCTTCGAAAAGACGCTGATTCCAATAAATTAAATATTTTATTGCCCGGGTGGTTTCAATTATTTAAATGATTTAAATCGGGGCTCCTGTAATCGAAGCGAAACGTTACGATTTTATTAATTAAATTATTGAAATTATTTAAATTATTTAAATTATTTAAATATTTAATAATTTAAATAATTTAAATAATTTAATCAATAAATTAGCTGAAAACTCGTCTTTCTTCGAAAGGACGCCGGTTTCCACCTTTTAAATATTTTATTGCCCGGGTGGTTTAAAATATTTAAATTATTTAAATCGGGACCCCTGTAATCGAAGCGAAACGTTATGATTTTATTAATTAAATTATTGAAATTATACAAACTTTTTAAATTATTAAACATATAAATACTTTAAATAATTTAAACAATTTAGATAATTCGATTGATAAAATAACTGAAACTCGTCTTTCTTCGAAAGGACGCTGATTTCAATAAATTAAATATTTTATTGCCCGGGTGGTTTAAATTATTTAAATTATTTAAATCGGGGCTCTTGTAATACAAGCGAAACGTTACGATTTTATGAATTGAATTACTTAAATGTTTTAAACTATTTAAATTATGAAATATTTGAATAATTTAAAAAATTGAAATAGTTTAAATATTTTAATTAATAAAATAACTGAAGTTCGTCTCTCGACGAAAGGACGCTGATTTCAATAAATTAAATAATTTATTGCCCGGGTGGTTTAAATTATTTAAATTATTTAAATCGGGGCTCCTGTAATAGAAGCGAAACGTTACGATTTTATTAATTAAATTGATTAACTTATTAAACGTTTTAATTATTTAATATTTAAAAAAAACTTAAAAATAAAGAATTTAAAATTGATTAATAAAATAACTGAGGTTCGTCTCTCGTCGAAACGGTACTGATTTAAATGATTAAAAACTTTGCTCTGGGAAATTAAATAGTTCAAATTATTTTAATCGGGGCTCCGGTACTAGAGGCGAAGCCTTCGCAACTCCCGATGTTTAGTACTCTTTTTCGCATGGCAGCGCAAATGCCGCGCGTCGAGGCAGTGACAAGGCAGCACGTAGTTGAGCTTCAAACATAAACGCAACCACTAGCATTCATCAAGGGAAAAACCGTCCGCCTTAGCTGCGCTTCCGAACAAGAGAGAAGGGCGTGCGCTTGCGCTGCTTGGCTGCGCCCGGCCGCTTCAGGGTGCGAATGAATTGTTGTTGCCCTGCTGGCTTGCGCGCAACAACCATGCGCTCGTGATCCACCTTCCACTTGTTCGCCAGGGGCTCAGCGGCTTTGCGCTGCAGCGCCAGCGGAAGCTGCGCTTTCCGCGGCGCCCTCTGCTCCTGCGCCTGAGAAGCGCAATGATTTGCCCACTCGGCGGCGGATATCGCAAACGAGCAGACCACGCTAGCTGCGACAGTTTGCGAAGACAGCTGGCGCAGAGTGGGGGCGTACATAGCTGAATTATGCATCATTTGCTTGCCGATTACGTTGACGCCGAGCTGGAGCTCTAAAGTCTGCGCGTACAACTCCGGCTGGTTCTTAAACCACCTGTTGATCTCGCTACGCAGCGCTTCGTTTGGGCTCGTGCCCGAACCGAGCAATGGCAGCGCGCGAGCCGGCAGCGAGTGCCGCATGCGCAAATTATTAAAAAGATACTCGCGTCGACTGTGCTGCGCGGCATTCGCTATTACATCAGCCAGCTTCTTGCTTGGCGCGGCGGGGGTGCGCCTGTCCACTTCTTCCCAGTAGACGGACGTCAATGCCGCCAATGCCTCGATGAACTCAAGTTTTCTCACGAATGGCTCATTGGCGTCGAGATCTGCAATGATATTGTGCGCTCGGCGCTTCTGCATGCCGCCGCCGGCTATCAACGACTGCGCGCGGCCCTCGGCGGCAGACAGCGAGCTAGCCTGGTGGCCCGTGTAAGGGGCGCCCCACGCGGCGCCATTTAAATCTGAGCTCACTTTATTGAAATTATTCAAAATGATTCGCAAAACTGCCTGGCCCGGAGAATGTTTCCGCCAGTGCGCCTGATTATACACAATTGCGAGATGAACAGGATCTAGGCACAAAAACTTGAGCTGAGGCATGATTTGCTTGAGCTCTGCAAACAATGTCGCCGACGGATCATCCGATGCCACTGAGACGCACTGCTGGAGAGCTCGCTCGGGCAAGTGATTTCGAAGAGCCGCCTTCACGACGGATGCCGCTTCGCTGGCCACGGGCCACATACCAATGGCGGCTGACGTGCGACCTTTGGCTGTCAAAATGCGCCTCTTGGCAACGCCGTCTGGAAACGGCGCCGCCGCTCGAATCTCTGCCGGTTCCCTGTAGTTCGCCTGGCCTTTCACGCGCATGGCAGCGCGCAGAGTTGCATCCAACGAAACGTGCTCAAACTCTGTATTATCAACCAACTCGCCCATGAGATTGGTTCGCAATTCCTCTACGAACGGAGACGAGAATACGTCCTCCATCAACGACAACCACTGAACGACCTTTCCTGGTAGAAGGGGCGTGACGCAACTGCCGGCTTCCTTAAAGCGCGTCACAATCCTCGCCCTCATCGGGCGCACTCGACCTTCGTGCAAGATGGATTCGCGGAAGACGAGCTCGGCGAACTCCTTCGTGTAGTACGTGTTTCCCACGCGCCTGTCGAAGCCGACGAAAGAGTAGGATGGCAAAGGGCAGGGCGCGCAATCCGCTCACGCAGCTACTGTCCCCGGCGCCCCGCAACGCCGGGAGGCGCCCGCGCGTCGAAGAACGGGCTCAACGGGCGGAGCCGAAACCAGCTGCGCGAAACAAATGTCGCACCCCCCCCCCTTTCCGCATCCTGCTCTTTCTTCCAGCCCGAGCCTGGCGTGGAGCGCGCCATCTCTCGCGAGAACCTCGAAGTTGACAAACCGGGGCCCGTCGTGGTCAAGGAGCAGCCGAATCTGCTTGTCAACACCAAGACACCGCAACGGCGGGCTCACCGACCGCCGCATGAGATCGGCACTGCGCTGCAGCAAGTTCTTCGGTTGATGCTTTGATAACATGTCGACGTCAAACAACGCCTGGATGACTTTCCACTGCTTAGTGCCTGAAGCAACGTACCGACCTGATCCCATCTTACGATCTCTACCATTCTCGCATTTTCTGTGCAAGCCGTGGTGATTCGCGATATGCGCAAGGAGATCCCTCTTAACGTTTACAGACGAAGTATAATACTCTTTGAATGGGCAAAGCAAGCACCTTGAACGGCTCCCATTCCCGTCCTTCGTGGCGCCTGTGCGAGAGAGCGACTTCACGATCATCTCGAAGTCAGTAACCTCGTCACGTAGTAGCTGCAAGAGATTCGCATGCACGCGCACGCATGAATCGCCATCCAATTCCTCGGCGTGCTCGTCGTCGGCGTTCGCGACGTCAACGGCCCCCTCCTCCTCGACGCCGGCTCCGGCCACCATGTCCATGGCGTCGCGTGCAGCGACGTCATCGCCAAGGGTCGACGAATGCCCGCCGCCGAGAGCGAACGCCGCCTCGACGCCGAAGTCGAGGATAATCCGCAAGCAAGCGTCGAGACAACCTCGAGGTACGTCCCAAGATAACCCTTCTGAGTGTAAGATGCTGCCGCCGTGCTCGAATACTTCGACAGCTGCGCAATGTTCTCTGCCTGCAACTTTTCCGTGAACAAGAAATCGGCCAAGTGTCTCCACCGCCGTCGTCGGCACTGGCCGCAATGAAACGCCAAAGAGATTGGCGCAGTCACTATATCGACGAAGGCCGCTCGCCATAGCTGCTGCGTTCTCGTCCGAATCCACAGTCGCAGCTGCGATGACGCCATCCCAATCGCCAGTGAGCGCCGCAATGCCGAACGGGATGCAGTTGCCGTGCCACGTCAGACGTCGCCGGTCAAAATGCACGATGCCGCGAATTGAACAACCGAGCTCGCGAAGAGCTGCCGCCCCCCGCTGCGCAGCTGGGCTGGCCGGCGAGGGCGGCGACAGAGAGCGGTCTGAGCTCGGGCTACCTGCGGCGACGCGCGCCGCGAGCGAGCGGCGTCTGCGCGCGCGGCAGACGGCGGCGACATTGTCCTCGATGCCGGCGCCCGCAAATAAATCCAATGCGCCATCCAGCGAACTATCTCGATGGTCTTCGTCATCTCGATCGGCGGGCTTCATCTGAAATGCCACTACCATACACCGATCGAGAGCCGCCAACACCGCCTCGTCCAGCGCCCCGGCCGGCAGACTCCAGCGCTCCCTGCCGACGTAGCACTTGTGCGGCCCACGCTGTTTCACGTCGATGCCGACGCAAAGCGGCGCAACGTCTGGCTCGCAGTGCACTAAGAATAGCCCAGGACAACTTTCCTGTGGCACTTCCACGGGCAACAGCTTCACATTGGCCGCTCTCGCACATGTCCGATACGAGCGCCGAGGCGGCGCCCAGAACAGCGGCGACGAGGCCGCCGAGGCCGCCGCTGCGCTGGGAGGCGTTGCGGCGGCAGCGGCCTTCGTCGACATATCCGACCAGTTGCCCGCGAGCGCAGCCATTGCGCAGAAGATGCCATTGCCGGCAGAGAACAGCGCCTCGACGTCGCTCGGCGCATCTGCAGGCTCAACGTCAAATGCGCTCGCACGGAGAAGATCAATAACATAATATCTCTCCTTGTTCCTGATGCTTACGGAATAACCCGCAGTGTCAAGAATCCGTTCCTCAGATTTCTTGCAAAAGGATTTGACCTTCTCTGCGTCCGAAACTGCCGTGGCCTGCGCATCGCCGCCCGCCTGGCTCAAAAGGACGCGCCCCTTGTCGACGCGCAGGCCGTCGAAATGCAAAGATACGCGACTGACTTTCTCTTCCATGACAAAGTCGACCCACTGCTCCAAACAATAATCCTCAACGCCTTGCCGCATGTAGCTGGCCAGCGATGCCTCTGACCACTTGTCCTGCGCGGACTCTAGGAGCTTGAACTGCTCCGGGTACAGCCCCACGGCTAGCCAACGCAGGAAACGCGCCGTTCTCACCAGCATCTTGGCGAACTCGTTCTCGGACAACTCCTTCGGCAAAGCGCCGCCGCATATCAGCTTGATCAAGACTTGCTTGCCCTTGAACGGCAACATTTTGAAGACGCCCCTATCAGGAGCCAGAGGAAAGCTCGCCCAAGCTTCTTCGCTCGCCAAAGCACCTGCCCCATGGGCCCTCTCCCTCCGCCTCATCCCCTCCCCACAGCGGACTAAAACGCCCCTGGACCTATTTCCCCAAGCCGCACCAGGCCAAGGAAACCGCATCGAGACGACCGAGGAAGCGCGGGCGGCTTTCAGACTCCAACCTGCAGACGCCCTCTCGATCTGCGCGAACGCGCTGTAGCGCAGCAATCTCGTCCGCGAAAAGCTGAGCGTCAATGATCCCCAACTTTTCAATGATCTGCGCCAATAAACAAAAAACGCAGTTCACGAAATCCAAATCGAAAGTGCTCGAAAAAACCACGTGCTGTAATCGTTGGTCCATGGCCTGCGCCGAGAGCTCCTCGTTGACGCACTGCCGAGACGGCCACTCCACTGCGCGCCTGTAGCTCTTGAAGCTGTCAAGCGGGACTGTTTCTTTCCATCCAGCATGGCGGGTTGGAGACTTCTCAACGCTCGGCTGCTTCGAGGCCAACTTCCTTCTCTTAACCTCGAGGTCGGCCGACCTCTTACTCCGGTCAAGCAGCCGCTGCGACGTCTCTGTCATTGACAAAATCTTCTGTGCCCTCTCATCCAAACTCTCGATCCTCTCAAGGACGCCCTTCGCTGGCCGCCCCCGCGCAGGAGCAATCGCCGATGCGAGCGCGTTAAACGCGCCTGCCAAAGTCTTCTCGTTGGCCAATCTGGATGTACACCGCGCTGCCTCCAGCGCCGATGCGTCGCAATGCTCCGGGTATATCGCATCGCAGCATGGCGGCCGCCGCGAACAAAGAATCGAAGCGTCTCTCTGAGTCTTGACGCGCGGAATCAGACGATCTTCCGCCTTGCCCTTGGAACCGACGTCGATCCACAAGTCGCTGCCTTTCAACGACTCCCATTGTTCTTCTTTGTTACCCTTCAGCCTAGCGCCGGGAGGTGTTGCAGACGCTCGGAACACGCTGTAAGTCAAGTAGTTCAATCCTTTCCGCTGCAGCTCCTTCACCAAATGGTTGCTGAGAAGGAGTATCGGCGAACTCGGCAAATGGCCGTCCTGGGACGGCGGGTCAACCAAGCCCTCGGCGACAGCGCTCGCCGCTGATTCCGCAGCGTTGTCCGCCTTGATATGACAAGCGATCCTGACGTATGTCTCGGTTACTCCATGGTCACCGCCGCACTTCGTGTAGTTCACCAAAATGTCTCTGCACGCCTCGGGCCCGTTCTCCACCTCGAACGCGTACTGAATCTTATGGCCTGCCGCAACTGCGGCCCCGCTAATCATGAAGTCCCTGGCGTCGGGATCGCGCGCGAAGATGCCGTATCTGCTCGGGTCGGTGAGAATAATCTTATCAACGTAGAGCTTGTCAAAGAACCGCGACTGTATCTTGATGATGGCGATGCGGCGCACAATAGACTCCAGGTTGTGCTCGTTGACGTTGTCGAAAGTGAAGAACTGGTTTACCTCCATGCGCTTCCACCCGATGATCCTGTACATCTTCGTCAAGATGGAGTACGGCAGTCTCCCCGCGATGGTGTCGGCCGTGGCGAACTTCTTGAGCAAGTCCTGGCGCATGCTACTCCTCTGCCCCGAGGGCCGCTCCTGGCCGGTGAAGATGCAGCCGCCGACCAAGAGTTCCACCACCTTCCGCATCTCCTCGTCCTGGAAAAATATATTCGGATCAAAGAACTTGTGGTTCTCATCGCCGCACATCGCGTGCAAGCGCGAAGTGTAGAGGGATAGGCCGACGCCGCCCGGCCCCCAATACACAGTTATTTGATCGATGTTTTGACCGCGCTTGGCCAATGCCTGCGCTGCCTGGCCGAAGACGAACGATTCGGGTATAGACCAAAAAGTTTGCTCATACACGCGCTGAACGCGCTCCATGGCGGCGTCAAGCACCGGGCCCAGCAGAGGTGTCGGGATGCCGAGATATACGTTGTTCTCTGGTGAACGAGACGACAACAAGCAAACGTTCTCGAAAGCGCTGCGATCGTACAACACGCAGCAGTCAGCGCACGCGCATCCTGGAACCCGCTGCATGTCAGTTGAACACCACTCAATGAAATAAGGAACCAACGTGTTTCCCAACAACTCATACTGAAAAAAAAAAAAAAAAAAAAAAAAAAAAAATAAAACAAAAAAAAGAACAATATGAAGAAGAAAAAAAACAAAAAGAGAAAAAAAAAAAAAAAAAAAGAAAAAAGAAAAAAACAAAACAAAATGATGTGAAAAACAAAAAAAGAAGAAAAAACAATAATAGAAAAAAACAATGAAGTACAAAAGGAACAACAAAAAGAAAAAAAGCGTGAAAAAAAAAAAGAGACAAAAAAAAAAGTGAATTAAAAAAAAAGAAAAAAAAAGGAAAAAACAAAAAGAAAAAAAAAAGAAAAGGCTCAGTTGACACTTTGGATATGGTCTGAGCCGTTAGCACGAACCAGCTGTCAGCCGAATTGCTCGTGTCCGGCGCAGGGGCTGCAAGGGCGCCCTCTGCATCCTCGCCGTCGCCGCCCGGTTCGCTCTGCCTGCCAGGCGCGGCGCTCCCTGCTTTCAACAAGTCATTGCCTTTGTTGAACATGCAGTTGTCATGGAAAGTCAACATTGCACTCGGCAAGTCGTTGTTGTTCTGCGCCAAGGCCTCCTTGATGGACGAATCGATCGCATTCAGTACGTCCGCGTCCTTGCGCGCGACAGGCGCCTTGAAGGACCTGAACAACCCTTCCAAGGTCAGCATGGCATTGCCAGCGGCAGCTAGCACGGTCGGCGGCATGAGACCGTCGAAGCCCTCGAAATGTCCAAGGGAATGATCGTAAAAATAAGCACGACCTGAGTGCGCCCGCAGCTCGCGCCCGCCCAGAAGCACCCAGAGAAGCTGAACGTGCTGAAGGAGGCTGACATCAGATTGCCTGCTCCGATACAGCATTAGAGCTGCCACCCCAAGCCTTTTGACATCGTCGTTCCACTCCTCGTGGTTTTTGTTAACGATATCGGCAAGCCTCTCCGTAGCAGCCACCACTCCGTGAAACTGAGGCGGGTCGGCGGCCGACGAGTTCGCGAGCTTCGAGGACTTCTCCGTCACGTCGGACCACATCGACTTGAACGTCTCCCGGGAAGTGGCGGCCCCCGCGATGCGCATCCGCTTCGCCAAGGCCGCGACCATGGCGGCGTCTCGAGGAGCTCCCTCAGATATCTCGGCCGCCATCGTGTCCTCGGCGCCAACCGTCGGGGGGTCGCCCTGTTGCGTTGGCACCTCGAATTCTGCAGCCTGTGTTTCAGGGATCACCGAGTTCTCTATGACCGCCCACAAATCTCTGGAATACTGCGATAAGTGCGGAGCCCCCCCGCGAGACGTGCCGGCCCTGAGACCGCGCAGACGACGGCCCAGGCAATGGCCATGCGCTCCCTTGTCAGCGATGATGACTTTGAAAATCAACATGTTTGGCGGCGCCGATACCTTGGACGTGGTTTCAAACTTGTACTTATTCTCCCAAATGGTAACGTAGCGATCATGTACGCGAACTCCCGTGCAATGCCCCACTCTCTTGCCAGACTGATGACATAGGTAGGCGCCAGGGAGAGAAAGGTCGCTCACCTTGCGAGAGCTCGGCGTCAGCGGCGGCAACGGCGAAGCGGGCCGCGCGCCCGACAGATTCGAGGGGATCATTTTGCGCGGCCCGACGGGGGGCCGCGACTGGCAGTCCCCCGCGAACCGATCGAGCGCGCCTGCCCGCTCTCCGACGCGCCGACGACGCAAGCCCGCCCAGGCGCCTCCTGCAAACCCACGCCCAGCGCAGCGGCGACGTCCACGTATTTGCGGCCACGCGAAGCGGCGGCAGGGAAGATCTTCGCATATGCTACGGCATCCAGCGCCTTGCCGATCACGTGGCCGATACCGTGCGCGACGCAGTTGCCCTGGCGCGAAAGCAACGCCAGCTCCGGCTGGAGGTCTGTCTTCAC